ACTACTACTACAACAACTACCACTACCACTACCACTACCACTACCACTACCACTACCACTACCACTACCACTACTACTACTACTACTACTACTACTACGACGACTTCTACTTCTACTTCTACTTCTACTTCTACTTCTACTTCTACTTCTACTTCTACTTCTACTTCTACTACTACTACTACTACTACTACAGCTACCATTACTACCACTACTGCCACTACTAACACTACTGCCACTACTGCTGCTGCTGCTGCTTTTGCTGCTGCTGCTGCTACTACTACTACTACTACTACTACTACTACTGCTACTCCTACTCCTACTCCTCTAGCGACTCCTCCTCCTACTCCTACTCCTACTCCTACTCCTACTCCTACTGCTACTGCTACTGCTACTGCTATTGCTACTACCACCACCACCATCACGACGACGACGAAATCCTGACTGTTGTTGTTGCGGATTTTCTTCTTCTTGCTGTTGCTACGACTGGTACCACTTCTGCTGCTACTAATCACGAGGACTGTTATTTCCACCAGCACTAGCGCTGCTGCCACCACCGCCTGTCCTTGGGGTGCGACAGCCCGGAAGACGGAGGCGCCTTGGAAGAGCCTCGCATGGAAGCATAGATCAATGCGTTTTGAGATCGTCGAATTTTACGCCATCCAGCAGACGCTTAGCTCGGTGAGTTTATTGTGTAACCTACACTTGAGACCTAGGTTTGTTCATGGATTTCACTGGTTGTGATCAGGCACTCGACTGTCGACAACCGCGAAGTCTTCCAACAATCCCACTTTGAGGAGTCTTGAAAGCACGGGAGTCTAAAAATGGTGTGGCGCCTTTGGCCCATCAATCTTGCACATGTAAGTGAACGCGGAACTGTAGAAGGATGCTGTCGCCGCAATGCAAGGAAGATAAGGCAGAGAACGGAACTGGACGGAATTAACATACGAACATGTCGAATGTCCTAGTGCAGTGACAACCGGGGCACATCAACGACACCTTTTGATTGAGCGTGATTCCGAAGAATATTTGTGCCATCAATGTTGCCTGCAACCATCCGGCACTCGCAAGCTGAGGGCTGTGCTGGCCCCACTTGCCTGTGTGCCAGGACCATCGCAAAGACCGCCAAACCTCAAAGAAACAGAGATTGCTCATGTTGTCGAAGCCCTTGCTGCTCTGTTCCCCAGGACCAGGGCAGCGAAAGCTCCGTACTGCGCCACGAGTTGCTCGAAATCCGGTTCTACACACAAGCTGCGTTTCAAAGCCAGCCCGGGATTGAGTTCAACTTTGGCAGAATACTCAACGCTGTGCATGCCGCCAAGCCAAGAGCCAAACCAAGCCGCTAGGCAATGCACATCTCCATGCCGCATCTAGACCCTAGACCGCGGACCCAAGCGCCCCAACACTGCGAGGCAAGCATGACAAGTTGTGCTTTGAAGGTGTGCCGTGGCTGACACGCATGAGGCACCTCCCGTTGTCCGTGCATCAGCCAGGTGCTATGCGATGCGACGGGAATGCAAAGGATCGTGCGCCCCTCCATTGGGATATCTGCGTCTGCGCTTTGGCATCACGCGTGTGCGAGGCGACGTCCAGCGGCCTCACTAAGGTTCTGCTGTGCCGAGCAGGCGATTCTCCTATCACCTTCTGGGTCAACGCGACTTTGGCGAGGGCAACCAGCGGATGTGTATGGTAATCAGCCCTTGACATGCTTCTTGTGATTCTTGTGGCATGAATTTAAGCTAGTTACGAGGCCTGCATCGATGAACAAAAAGAACGGATTGGTTCCAAGACACACAGATGACTAGCACCATCCCGACCTTGCATGCTTCACACCACGACTGCAGGTTTACGATCGGCGAGATTTATCACATCCGGCCTACCCGCTCTTGTCATGAAATGGAAAGTTTTCTGCCCGAAACGAAATTCGTCGTCAAATGTTGGACGTTCTTGATTCGAAGGTGGCATCAAAAGCGAAAATGTGCTTCTACAAAAAGTTGAGTGAACCCATGCCGCAAGGCCCTAAATATGAACGAGACGCTGACATGATATCTCCAGCTGCAAAGCGAAATTCCTGAAACTACCTTCAGTGGTTCAAGAAAACCAGAAGTGGCACAGCAGCGGGCTTCCGGCTGGATAATAGTGTCCATGTTCGGCTCTAGGAAGTACGGTACAGAGTACCTCTCGGAGGCCTTGGAATGCGATCACAAAGAAGGCAGTTTCCAATCTCCGAAACTTGGAGCCCAGCGCTAGTCGTGACAACCCGATGCACGGTTGACCTTGGCGTCACATTGTCGGTTCGGCTTCGCTTCTCAATCCCTTGCCAGCTTCCTGTGAAGCCTCCAAAACTCTTTTCTGCTGGCCGGAGTGAAGCTTTGGTCAATCCAGGCCATAGAAGGAATCTGGCACATTGAAAAGTGACACCAAATCCTTGGCGACCGAGTGCACTCTGTCGCAAAATGTGGCTGCAGATCACCTGTCCTATTCACACAGCTTGCTTTCTCCGATAAGTTGCCAGATTTGCAGGTCTCGTCACCTTGCATGAAGGAACTCATGGAAAGTGACTCTGGGAGTTCTTCCCTTTCACGCGACTGGTGCTGACCTCCTACGAGATGAAACTGTTACAAGTCTGTCGAAGGCTGCACCTAAAGTTGACAGTCTCCATCCCTGTGTGACCCAAAAACTTGTGCGAACCGCTGTCGGAAGAAGCCAAGTCGCGGAAACTTGAAAGCTCTCGCCTGCAGCGCAGGTCTCGGGAACGGTGAGGTCGTACGTGATGCCGAGGTACGAGATCTGACAAACAGCACTACTGCCACCTCTCACATCTTTACCATTCGTCTCTCGTCCGTCGGTGTGCTGCTGCTTGTGGTAAAATCCCTGCCGCGCCCTCAGCGGCTGCCCTGGTCCCGATGTCTCCGGCACCGTCACATCAATGGCGTCACCCGCCTGACGGCCAACCTGTGGGCAGTCCAAACCGGCTATGCATCCCCTCCCCGAATCGGACAGTGAAGGAGGGAACATCTGCGACGGTGAGCAAGCGAAGGCTCACCCTACAAGAACTCCTTGCTCCACGCTGCCAACAGCTTGGAGAAGCACAATCTGGCCCCCTCCCTGAGGCCCACGCCCTAGCAGCGACATACACACGATCACTTCTTACTGCGTGCATGCGCCTCAGCAAACATCACTGTGAGGAAGTTGTCGTAGGCCTCGCCTGCACGTGGTTTAGTCGAGCGTGGAGAGCCCTTCCACACGAATCTCAAGCCGGGCTGCAAACTGTCACCGCTTGCAGGAAGGCGTTCAAGCCATCGTCGTACTGGAAACCGTGGCCCTGCAGAAAGAGCATACCGGATATACTGGGCGTATCGGCAGACGCGTGTCTCACGAGCCGTTCGCATTCGCATTCGTCTCTTACGGGCGAGCTTCGTTCTCTTCTTGCAGCCATCGGCAGAGCTCCGTAAGCTCCCGGTCAGTCATCCCCAGCGAGTGCAAGATCTTCCTGAGCATGAAGAGCCCTTCGCATCACAGAGCACTCCAAACAAGTGCCCTGTTTCACCGCTTTCTCTCTGTCTGGGCGTCTGCATCTGGCTCTCGAAGATGCCACGATACTCGTCGTGATAGCTTTTCCAGGCCTGAGCTGCAGCCAAAGCTTCTCGTGTCAAAGCCGTTTCGAAGGGCCACGGAAAGGGGAGAGCCTGTGGTGTCCGAATCCCGATCCTCTAGGGCCATAACTCGGCTAGTCCGCAAGACTGCGGCTTTGCTTTAGGTTGGTCTGAAACTTCACGACTGTTTCGATAATCCCAGGTTCCGGGATGTGGTCGTCGGATAAAGTTGCAGGACACATGTGCGTCCCCTTCGAACATGGCTGTGCACGGGTTGGTTTGGTTCGAGGGCGCTCCGAACAGTTGGTTGTGAAGGTCACTCCAGCAGATGCATGTCTAGTCTGAGCAGATCTGGCTGATTAGTTCAAACATGTCTGGGCAGTCTCTGCCACCCCTGCCTGCTGTACTGTTCGAAGCGACCCCGCGCTGTTAATGTATTTATACTGTCAGCCCAAGTAGATATCCGAGCAATGCTCCTAGTGTCCTAGTGCTAGTTTTACTGTTGTCGCGCCCTCTGGTCCGGCGGCATCCGGCGGCCAAAGCCGCCTTCGAACCCGGATCCGATCTCCATTCCGAGCCGCGTGAGGATGGCTCCCATCTTCGCAGACTTGAAGGAACTCGGGTGCTCGTGCTGCAACAAAGGCCTGTCAACTCGCAGCAGTCGCAGATGATATGGTTTGCCAATCTACGGAGGATCGCGGAACATCTCCACAGTTGCACTTGCACGTCAATTCTGTCTTTTGTCTTCCTCTCTGTTTGTTCCTGTATGCAACAATGCATGGTTATCCCGCCTGATCCGAGGAAAAATGGAAGGAGGGACCAAGGAACGAAACGCTCCGCCCATTTCCGTTCCAGAAAGATGAAGACAAGGAATGTGGGTTGTTGTCTGTTTCACTTTCTCTGCAGTCTGCTGCCGTTACTGTCCTGTCCGTTCGAGTGTTTTTCCTCGTCTCTTCAGGCAAACCGCAGACAGTGGAATCCTTGCCTTCCACCTCGTTTCTCCCTGTTCTGTACTCCTCAAGATGCCACCAACAACAGGAAAACATAAGCTGCTAAATACCAACACAAGATACTTCCAGATTGTTACAGCTCAAAGACACACAGGTGGCTCGTGCTGCAACACTTTCCGCAACTCTCAACAGCAAACACTTCCAATTCCGAAAGATTAGGTTCTGGAGAGGCCAAGTCTATATTAGTTCTTGAAGAAGACCAGATCTTGCGTCGCATTTTTCTCTAAGAACTCATAACATTGACGAACTGCACAGATCTCGAGAGATTGTTTGCGAAATGAAAAGCATGTCATTTGGTTGGGTGAAATTTCGTAAGCAAGTGTCCACCTGAGAAGTAACAGGATCTGGTCTTCGCTATCGGGCATCTTTCCAAAACATGCTTTAGAGCTTTCATGATAAAACACGTCTTAAGAATCTTTGAAAGTTGTTGTATGTTCTGCAAATCTTGGTTATAGTGTGGTCCAAAACTGATAAAGCGAGGTGGTAGCTCATTACCGTCTTGAAAAGTCTACTTCCGGCTAGACTAATTAACGAAGCTTGCTGATGCTGGCAATAGCAATCACTATCATCAATGATGATGCTACTGTCATGTTAATGACAATAACCTTTACGGGCATAGCGCAAGTGGTAAGTGCGAATGGAGCACCGCTCAGGCTCGGGGAGGTGCGCATGCTCTAGCATCTTGTTTTTTGAGAGATTTGTTCTCCTATCTGCTTCCGAACATTGCGAATCCCCCACTGGCACTCAGCCGGCAACGGGCTGTGAAAGGCTGAATATGAAGTCTGAGGTTGTCGGCGGAACATCTTCCCGACAGCCCTGCCTGCAACTCTCGTCGAAAGCTGGGATCCTCAGAAGCTTTCGGATCTTTCTGCCACTATCAGTTCAAGCTCAAACACCTACTGGCCGTGCGAATATATATAGCCGCGTCGGCTTCCCTGAGAAGCGGCACAGTATTGTGACATCCCTGCCTGCAGAAAGCCGCTGATCAAAGGCTCCAAACAAGAGCCTGGCAGCTACACGAATTGTGCCGCTCTCGTGTTAGCTCCAGAATCCAATCAACTCACGCTCTGCGAGCATGCAAGTCCAAGAGTCCAACATGCAGGAGGCGCTTCGAGACAAGGTCGTCTACACGGATTTCACAGAAGCATTTTACATCACTTCCATGGCAGGATGTTTGGCAGGCCAATTTCAAACAAGCAGCCGCAAACTGGCGCGTGAAGCGCAAGCCGCTCGTAGAGCTCCTGTGGAGTCGAAAGGGAAGCCTTCAAGCTGCGTGCACAAGATGCCCAGCCAGTCTGCGGCGACTTCCTCTGCATCCGCCGGCGGCGGCGGCGGTGGAGGAGGCAGCGCCATGGCTACACCCTTTAGGATTCATGCGTAGTGTGTATGTGTGTGTGTGTGTGGGGTGGGGAACATTCATTGTTCGGAGCGGCATCCGGTGGGGCAGCCCATCTGCGAGTCTTGAGCTTCTCTCGATGCGGCCGATCTCTTCTGTAAGTGCCACTCCTCGGATGAGTTCGGCCGGCTGTCGTGTGTGCATCTGCACTGCATCTGTGGTCTCGCGGAGGTTCGAGCTTTCTTAGAACTTGACGGAAATGTAGCTGTCTCGCTTTGCTGAAACGGCGGCATGTCCGACCCAAGAGCCTGGAGAACCATGAACTCAAACCTGAAGAATTTTCAATCAACCTTCTTCCAGCCTGAAGCAGATACCAGACAGTTGTAAAAGGCATGTCGGACATCGCGGTTCTGTGGGTCGCACTTAAATCGATGCGCTGTCCATCGGCTCAGCATGTCACCCAAGTTGATGACAAAGGCGTTTTTCACCTACAGCGGGATGTCAGATGCAAGGCTGGTCAACATAGACGTGATGTGCCGTGCAGAAACACAGAACAGAATCCGGTACAAATCAAAGCAATGGTCACCAGCCGATGCCACGTCACGAGAGAGAGGAAAAGCAAGCATTGGAGACAGTTCTGTGAATGCTCTAAATAGCTTTCTCCGGGGGTCTGACTGGACAGCAGTGTATCCACCGACCGTCCTTCGCGTTGAGGACCTCCGTACGAATGTCTGAATGTCTAATAAAGCAGAGCATCCTTGGCCTCTCAAAGCCCTTGGGCCCTCAAGTTTTACTACAAGCGCCAGAGCATTACACATGCTTCAAGCATGGAAAGAGCCCTGGCCTGTAGCCCGCCCACCAGATCCTGTCAATGAATGGGAGGTTCAATTGCGCACTGGTCACCAGGCTTTCAACCTCGGTCCGAAGAAGCCTGACGGTTAGGTCCTGTTTCAGGACGGTGAGCAGGCCATAGTCCGTGTGCTCTCCGACACCGATCTCGGTTTCGTAGTCCTTCGCGAGTGGAGAGGGGGCTTTGATGTTGTGATCATCCCATGTATTGCAGTCTGCTCAGCCATGTCAAAGCTGTGTCGGGACCTTCAGCGGCCAGTAGTGTAGCAGTCTGTGGGTTGCTACCTCAATATGCCGTGCGGTTCGGGGTTCGGCACAGCTCAGCTGCCACAAGAAACCACTGTAATGCCGGTGCTTTCCAGAGCAGATCTCAGAGGAAACAAAACTGAGGAAGTGGCGGGCTGGGTCAAGTGCCTGCAGGAAGCCCCCCAACACCGGCACTAGGACCGTGTGGTGCAACTGTCGGTCTCCCTCACTCTCTTCATCGATCGGGCGGAGACGGCTTTCTAGGAGGAAGTGAAAGTCAAGTACAGCTCACAGAGGAACTGATCCAGTGTCATCCGTTATAACAGGTCTCCTCCGGATTGGAACTTCTCCTCAAACGGCACATAATGAATCATGAGGATGGTGGGCTTGAAGACACGGATACAGTCGGATACAGCTACTGGAAACTTCCCACCATCATGTCTTTTGGTCGCCACCAGTCTACAGCAGCTGCATAGACTTTGACTTGTCCAGGGCTCTGACAGCAGTTACCCGTGGCGGCAGCAGGGGACACGACTGGAAGATCCGCTCGCGAGCACATCTCACTGCAAGTGCAGTGTAACTCAACATCACCAAGCTACCACTCGCAACATCCAAGATAGAAGAGAATCAAGGTTCACCAAAAACGACGGTTCGTGTGTGGAGCCTTCATGGCTTCCCTTCAAGCAACGGACCACTGCACCTACCGACAAGCCCAACACACCTTGCAGCCATCCTGCAAAAGCTCTTTACTAGAAACGAAAGAGCTTCACAGCAACAGCGTGAATGCCTCAATATGTTATCCACAGCCAAAAGAGCGGCTTTCTTCTGCGGTTTCCAAGCTCTGCAGGTGAAGCCCCAATGACATGTGTTCCCCGATCTGCACAGACGAATAAGTACGAAATAGACCGAACAGTCTGCAAACGGGGCTGCGCCGCAATCTCGGGAGACCAACTCTTCCCCCCGTTCGCGCAACTGGCTGCGGCAAGCATGTTTGATCTGGTGCAGAGGCCCCTTCATGGGAACCATGCATGGCGACAGGCGACCAAATGTGCCCCTTCTCAACGCAGCAGAGTAAAAAATGTCTTTCGCTCACAGGCGATCTTAAAATGTTACGGGGGGCCTTGTATTTTGCCGGACGGGGTGAAGAATCGGCTGCAAACAACACCACATGCCGCTTCAGCAGCTCCAATTCTGGAATCATCGATGGCGGCGCTTTTGAGCATGACCGAGAACTTGGAAGCACACCGATGCACCCCCCGAAGCAACGACCAAGGAGCTGAAGTCAGCACTGGTAAGTCTCAAGTTGCATTAGCGCTCGTTTGGACTGCTCGTGGGGGCACTTGCGCGTGGTGGCAGCTTGTGAACACAGGCCAGTTTGGTCGACGAAAGGGCTGGACCATCACAAGCAGGATACTGAAGCCCGTGGTTCCGCCATCACAGTGGCCACATGATGCAATGAAGCAAACTGCGAGTGTCTACATGACATGGTGCTAAACACACCAAGTAATGCAAAGAGGGTGCGTTCTCTCTGCGCGATTTGTTTGTACGGGTGACCTGTCATTTCAGGAATGGACGAAACGGGCTGAAGGAGGCCTATGAAGTTTTCCAACCCTTCAACCGATGCCAGATAGAAGCTGCGGGGATAGCTTGCGAGCACACAACGAACTTCCATTTGGACTCTCGTCCGATGCAGCCGAGACACTGCTCGAAAAAATCCCGGGGCTTCTCAAGCGCCAAAGCCATCAGCTCCAAGAGCCTTTGGCCGGACTTAGTGGTTTCGGATCCACACCGGCTGCAAAGGACGGCCTGCCTCTTGGACAAGCGGAACATCTCAGATGCCTCCCGCATAGTGGCAGCTGAAGCCAAATCAGCCCAACTCCCGTGTCTGCAGTGTCTGACGTCTATCCGAGGAGGCGCACGTATTCGTCCAGGACCTCGCGGAAACCTGCAAGTTCCTCCTTGCACAGGTGCTTCAGCATGAAACGACCAATGAAAGTGAAGTAGACGGCCTTTGAACCAAAGGAAGGAAACCGTGCAGCCTTACCAGTAACATCACTACCGCAGCCAGCAAAAGCTCCTCTGTCGGAAGCTGCGAGGGCCTTAAGCAGTGCAAGAGGCCATGGTGCGCCATGTCAAACCCCAGCAGAAAACCATGGCCAGCCAGAATAAGAGCGCCCACGATTTTCTTAATACATTGCATTTAATGTGCTTCCAACGTCGGTGGACAACACCCTGTTGCTTCACAAGTGCTCACGCTGCATTTCCTGAGAAAGGAGCTGTGCGAAAATTTCAGCAATGTATCCACCAACTGGCCGGGCAAAGGGGACGCCGTTGCAGTCCAAAGCCTTCACCAGGTGGGTGAAGCAGTGCAGAGATCGGTTGACTCAGTCTTGCCCTTGCTCAGAGCTGTTTCATGCTTGCGCTAACAACCCTTTCCAGCCTCCTTGAGATCCTTCCGGGCTTTTCGGATTGTGTCCTGCCAAATCTTTGCTCAGCGAAGTTGGGCATGCTTCCTGGGTCCGACAACGGAACTCACCTTGTGTTTATGCTCTCTCGTTGGTCCATGAATTTAGGCACCATGCATGCAATAAAATGAAACAGTGAAAAATCTGATGACGACTCTTCACTCCAAAAAAAGCGGCTGATGCTTGGCGGTCCTCGCACATGCATGCAAACCTAGTGAGAACTTCCCGGTCCTTGCCATTTGCTTCATCGACCTAGCCAAGCAGACGGCTGCATTTCCACTGGGCTGCTTCTGCAAACCGTCATCACTTACATTTCTGTGTCCAGTTGCCCAGCCTGCTTTTCGAGGACTTGGTCCAGATCCTGAGAGGGGTGCATGCTCAAAGACCGTTTCTTACCACTAGCCGGTAGTTTGCCCAGGCCTCACCACCCAGCCCGAAGTAGCCACGGACCGGGCCTTGAGACTTGACTCATGCACGTGAGAGAATATACACCAACCTGTCTGGAGCTTAGCCCGCTGCTCTCATCGCATAGCTTCAAGCGCTCCTCGCGGATGCCAGGGGAACAAAAGATTGCACCATCCCTCAGCCCACTTTCCCACGCGTTGACCTTGACCGACTGCGGCAGCTCAAAGAATTTCTTCTGCAAGTCCTGCGACTGCAGAGCAAAAAGAGCACGTTGCAGACCGCGCAAGCAAATCACCTACCTGTATGACCCGCGAGTGCAAAAAAGACTGTTTCGTATGCTGATGTTCCGTGACCGGAAAAACCTACAGCGGTTGTGCCAAAATTTGCGGGTGATGATGACTTTCCCTGTGCTTGGAAGCAGGATTCCCTTTTCTCAGGCGCGGTGAAAGACCATCACCGCCGACGCCTTTTGCACATGCATGACATGAGGGCTCCCTGAACGATCCAAAGAATCTTCTACACGTGAGGTTTGGTGCTCCTTTGTGTCTTCTAGAGTCGCGGAGTGGCGACATCCACATGGCCATGTCGGTTTTGACGCTGGGCGGCCGACCAGATGCGTCGCCTGCAACTCCTCCGAGATGCCATGCCTGGGCCCAGGCCCCGACCCGTTCCCCAAAGACAGAGCTTCGGCTGAGCCCACGCGCCCCGTGACCTGCATGAAGCCCACGACCTGGCAAGCATCGCTTCATGCGTCTGCTCCGCCCCTTCTGCACCATGGCTCAACTCCCTCAGCAATGCTTTCAGAAGGCAGCCTATCCGGCTGGCCTCACAAGCGTAGCGGATCTGCTCCACAAGCCCTGCCTGCCACAAGTTAAGACAACGGGTCTGTCAAGCAGACTGGGGCAGAATCATCGCTCGGATTTGGCAGACGCCGATCAGAACCTCCTTGATTTGATAGCTGCATCACGGAGGCCAACGACTCGAGAAGTCTTTGTAGGTTGGCCGAATCTAGCCGCCCTGCTCCACGCCATGAATTACATGCCATTCGATGCGCCTCACCACTTGCACTCAACACAAGAGTCTCTCTCTACGGCAGTTTCAGAAAGACAACTGGAGCGACATGCTGCATCGTAAAACATCCGTCGATGTCCATTGCCCATTGCAGCCCTGCACTCCCTGCACCATTCTGACAGCCTCATCTCCAGACAAGTCGATAATCGGCACATCTTCAAACGACTTTGGATCCACGATTTTGGCCTGCCAGTCGGCTCTCTCCATCACTCAAACTGGATACCCACCCGCATCGAGCCCACCTTCAAGGTATCCGGCAAGTTTGCTGGAATGTTGGGCTGGCAGGACGAGAGGATTTCCGCGGGCACGCTGCCTCTGTCAAGTAACACTTCCTCAAGCGTTCGCGGATAGCTCTAAATGACAGCTGGCAGCTTTCTGCAGTCATGCTGGATGCTCATGCAGACCCAACTCCTTGCCAGAACGTGCCTCTCACGTAAATGTTATCCTCTCGGTCGCTCGACTGAACCTCGCATGAAGGCTAGAATCCAACTCGCGGGCAGATTCTGAACCATCGCGTCTTGGCATTTCACACTGCAAAGGTCCTGTGAGGCATTGACATCGACACTGATGTACCAACCAAACCAAACAATCAAAAACTCCGCCCATACTTTTCGACCTGATGCATGAAAAATATGCAAAAGCAGCTCAAACGCGTACCGGCGGAAGCCTCTGGGCTCCCGGCTAGCTCTAAGTCTATGCCCAAGTCCATCGCCTTCTTCGTGTCGATGACCTGGGAGAACAGGTATTGTTCTCTCGACTCTATGTCTGTGATTTGTGATCCCCCGAAAGTTGGAACATGGATTTAGGATGAGTAGTGCTTGGATCCTCTACACTGTGCATTAAGGGCTTGAGAATAATGATGTTCCAACTTGCTGGCTTCTACTTTGTCTCTATCCGGACACGTCTCTCACCGGCATTCTGGCAAGCGACGAAAATTGCATCTGGCCGTCTGTCAAGACCTGCGCGGTCCTGATATCGCACGGTCGCCAACCAGGAAAGCTGCATGTCGAAGGTAGTGGAGACAGCTGCACTGCATACGGCATGGATAGTTGTCTTGAAAATTGCAGCCAGGTACAGCAGCGCTGTGTCCGAATCTGAACCTGTTCCGTGCTTCTCCATGATTTCTGCTGGCACTTGATACAGGAGTCCTCGTCGACCAAGAATGTGGAAGCCTGCGCCACCGGCTACTTTGATGTCGCCAATTTGGGTAGATTTCACTCAATGAGTCTGCAAACACTTCCTAATTACAGAAGTCGTGTGTTATGCCTCTCGCTTAGCACAACAAACACGAAGCAAAATGCCGAGCCTGGCCCTTGGGCTCCTGCTCCTGTTGACACACGGCGCACAGTGGACACGTGTCACGTGCCCGGCAGCAAGCTGTGAGGGAGGGGGAGCGGGAGAGGGAGAGTGAGAGGGAGAGGGAAATAATACGTGTGTGTACATGTAATAGATAGATATATATATATATAGAGAGAGAGAGAGAGAGACAGAGAAAGTATATTTTTTTTTAAGAAGTAAGCAAGATATAGACAGATAGATGAGCAATGATAGATAAATAGGCGGATGAACAGCAAGCCGCGGCAGCGCGTGCAGCTTCAAGTCAGCAGTCCTGAGGCGCGTCCTCCCTAAACTTCGGTGCGCTTTGGCCACCACCTGGCGAGGAAGAGTTGGAAGTGAGCGTTGAAGGTTCGTGCATTTTCTCATAGCTTCGTGACGAGCAGCGAAAGCGAGCAGCTCTGTGCTCAAAAGTACCAGTGCAGCTACAACTGGAACAGGCTCGCACGAGTGAGTGCGAGGGCACACTTAGTTTCTTTAGAATGACAGACTGACTGATGAAGGTCATCGGCGTTTGCCAAGATGCGGCCCATCTCTAGCCCGGGTGCATAACAGCACATCCGGAGTAGCACCGCAAAACAGCTGCTTCGCCACAGAGCAGGCCAGGCTCGCGAAGGGTGTAGATGTGGGACCTCGGGCCGCGGGTGCCCAGAGCTCAAGAGGTCACGCCGACTCACAACGGGAATAGCTGGGTGTCAAGCTCTGCACCCTGAAGCAAATTCTTGAAGGGTCTTCCTGGGCACTGCCAACAGCAGAAGGGCATTTTGCACCTTCGTCCTCGCCTCTGGCACCTTAACATTGCCAAGTGTCTGGAGTTGGACAGGGGGTTCTTGGCCGGCACGATGCCTTTACATCTCGCAGCTTCGCCGGGAAACCACAAAGGAGGAGTGTTGCATAACGTTGCCACCGCCGGAAAGGCGGGAAATCCAGAGCAAGCTCCCCGAATAACATGATGTGGAAGATTCGAAGTCCAATATGACTGGCTCGCACGGCAACCTGGAAACTACGTTGTCTTGCTGCTTGAAGGTCTCGCGGGTACGATGAAGTTGCCCCTTACTGGCCTTGCTGAGCGTCTGGAATCTGTTTACACAGGTATCCGGTCGCCACTTGTGAAACTCCGAATGCTTGCATATTTCATGAAGGCATACAGTACATCTTTGGAATTGTATCTGAAACAGAACTGATGACTTTTCGAAACCGCAGAGGCTGGAATCCAGCAGTTTCAACCAGAATTCTCCTTACCCGATCCTGTACACATTCACCTCTGTCACACAAGACCGCACTTCGGATTTCAGACATGCAACGCAACTGATTAATTGTGCTTGTTCTAGATTCATGCCTTCGCGAAGAATGCCGTCCACATTCTCCCAGTAAGTTGCATGCAAAAGAAACCTAAGCCAAGATGCCAAGGTCTGCTCCGTCGGTACATTCCAGTGAGAGAGCGACGCGAGCTGAGCTAGAATTCTAAGCCTCTCACTTTGGCCGCACAACCTTTGGGACCTTGTTGGCCTCACCCCCATTCCCATGCTTGTCACACAAAAATAGCACAAAGCTCCCGCCTGCATCAAAGGATCTTCTTTGGACTGGAACAGGACGTTTCCTCGACCTCACGGGACATTGGCGAGGGCATTTGAGGAAGCCGTTGAGCTCCACACACAACACTGCTTGACTCCAGACTTGGGATACACTGTCGCATTGCCTGATTGCCTGGCCTGGTCCAGCTCTCTGATCCACGACTTTTTGGAAGAACCATGGACGGATCCTCGGAAACATTGCACTCACCCACATTCTGCTCAGGGGCAGGCAGGCATGTCATTCGGGCATGCGAATGGTAGCCCTCCAGGGTGCCGGCACACCGTCAATGCCGCGGGTTTTCCAGGTGCCTTCCTTGGCCTTGGAAGTGCCAAAATAAAGCGGCAAGGGGCTGACACGCAAACATGGCCCAGACATCGTAGTCGAACTCCATGTTCTCACTGCGGGCCTGCTGGCGGTCTCAGGTGCCATGGACGGAACTTTTCACGAAGCTGTCCTTTTCTTCGTCGATGAAGATCAAAATCTCGGGCGCTTCCTTCAGGCCGGGCACCTCTCGAGGCTCGCAAGGGCCGCCGAAGCACAGCGCAGCATCGAAGCAGTGAAGAGCGGGAGCCGGGAGCCCGGCCCGGCCGTCCGGGCGGACTTCGTCGATCATGAAGATCTCGCTTTTCGCCGCCTTCAGTCCTCAGTCACACTCCGCGAATTCGCATTAACCGCTCGCCCCTGACATCTGCACCTTGCTCCATGATCGGCGAGAAGTGGAGGAATTTCGTGCCATGCACGAAGGCCCCACTATTCCGGTATCGCGGCCTCCACGCACAGGCTGTGCCACAAGAACTTGAGTGCAAGGGTACTGCAAAAGGAACGCAACAGACTCCAATCGCCACCGCAGCGTGGGGACATCGTCAGCCGAATGTCTGGGGTCCCAGGCGGAGCAGTGAAAGCGGACATCTGCTTGGACTGGCATGTGTTGAGAGCTCCAAGCACCACGTCATCAGACAGTCAAACCCTTCCCACCGTTCCCGAATCGAAATGCATCAAACTGGGAGCGCAGCCGACAGAACAGAGACGCTGCCTTTCGTATCTGAAAACTGGGATACCTGAAGCGCTCGACATGATTGCAGAGCGCGAGAGGCCGAGCAACTACTTTCAGCAACATATATGTCACAATGAAAATGCAAATCCAAGTGACACTCCCGATGTAGCTTCCTGCCATGCGAGATAGATAGGCGCGCTGATCGGGTAGAAATCAAGAAATTTGTGAATCGAACCCTTTGCCGATGGCGCCTGCCATATGGGAGACCACCTCGGCTGAGTTCTACCGGTGTTGCTATGGCATGCAGAGGCAGATTTGAGGAGCGAACTGATGCGACATCGCTCAAATTACTGATGTCATCAGGATCCTGCAAGACCATGAACAGGCAAGCAGAGCGCCCTTCGACTTACGGAACAAGGTGTGGAAGGCAACCACATCAGCACTCCACGGAAGCGCAAGGACATGGTTCTTCTTTGAAGGGGCCCTTGCTTTGGCAGCAATCACTGTTGGCAATCACCCTTTGCCGAAGCATGCTTGCAAACGGCTGGCTGCCGATCATAAATCCGACGACTGTCCAGCCTCCTGTAGTGGGAAAAGTGCCTGCCAGGAGACAAGCAGTGCAAGGCAACTAGCAGCTTAAACGGCTCGGCTTGCTCTGAGCACAGGCCTGTAGATGAGGACTGCTGGCAACGGTCGGCATGGCCACCAAAAGCCCAACGAAGGGCTGAGCCGTGCTTCGTCAGAGACACGTCATAACTCAGCGCTGCATTGAGCCCCTGAGCCCCTGCTCTACATCTGACAAGTGCAAAACAGCGTGATATTTTCTCTCGCTGCAGTTGCATGAATTCTGCCTCTGCCGGCATCGTCTTCCAGGATTCCACGCAAGCGGGAAGACAAGGCCAGCCTTCTCAACCTCGGGACCTGGCTCTTGGCCTTCTTCGAGCCGCGGTGCCAAGGCGGCCAGGAAGCTCTTTCTTTCAAGACTGCTCCAACCCAAGTCGTGCGACTCCGAGAAGCTTGTCGAGAAAGAAGAAGTCCTGTCACATTCAGAAGTACCACAAATCAGTCGGAGCACTGTTCTGCAGGATCATATCTATCATCCCTTTCCCGGGCCTCCGCGATGAAGCTCAGTCGCATGCACGCTTGCGTGGATCATGTTTGACAAGCAGCCATCGAAAAGATGCATAGTCGTCTAGTGGCGGCGGTGGCCGGAAAAGCTGCAGAATCTGCCAAGCTTCTTCACCAAGCTGGCCTGCCACAGCTACGCAACGGTACGCAGCATCTCTTTTCAGCTCATGACAACCTTTCAGAACTTTCTGCCGTGATCCGGCTTCGGCCTTTCCGAGCGCAATGCATCGACCACGTGGCCCCAGGCACCCTTTACTTCCTTCATTTCCTTCTTCTGCTTGGACGTCGAAGGGCTTGCATGCCTCTGCGCGACCGCCTTAGCCTTGGATTGCTGGGGCTCTTCGCTCCCGATCTCGACCTGGCAAAAGCGCCCAGACGAATGCACATGTGTGGCCCCGCCTCCCTGAAGGCATCGAGACCAGCAAGCAGAAACAAACACATTAAAAGTATCACCTTCGCTGTGGCGGAAGCGTCGCACAAAGCATTTCCAACCGGCCTGACGCAAGAAGCATGCTGAGCGTGTCCATGGCTTTGCTCTGTTATTTAGTACTTGTTGTGGAATGCTCTACAAACATCTTTTTAGTCCAGCGGCCTTGTCACTCGCTTGCCCGCACCGAGGAAGATGGCCTCTAGACTCTGAAATGCTGGTTTTGTACCACTTGAAAGGAGGCCACCGACAGGGTTCGGGCTTAGGCCTGCAAGATGCTAGCATTGCTATGCTTTACACTGGCCCACATAAAGATGCACCCTGGTCGTATCGTAGTGGCTTGACCGACCTCATTGCACGTCGGAGTGTCCTTGCGTAAGCAATATCTCGGCCTTCTACGAGCAGCTTCGATCTGTCCTTGTGGCAGGTTAACTAGTTACTGATGAGGGGTCAGACGTGAAACCTGCTACGTAGACGCATCCGGCCACGTAAGCACAAAACGCAAGTTGCCATGTTGCGAAAACAGATGGACCTTGAGGTGGGGGGAGACCAAAGGCCCCCCTTCTTTTTTTGGCAGCGTTCACATGAGTTCATGTAAGCTGAGTCAGGGCCGCGCGTTTACCGCCCAACCGGTCTAGGACTGTTGACTTGGCAGTACACATCGCGCTTGTTCAGTGTTTCCAAAAGGGCACGGGCTCAATAGTGACAAGGCTTGCCCCTCACCCGTCAAAAACGAGGCGAGCCATCATGAGCGAAACGGGGCCGAGCCCGTCACAAAAGGATCAGGACTACTTCACACGACAATGCACTCATCACTTCACCATGTCATTGAATTGTTCAAGATACGCATGTCTCACTCGAGGTTTCTTTCGGAGCTTGGCCATGGAAAGTTTTCCCACCCTTCTCATGCAAGCGATTCTCCAAGATGGACATAACCAGCTTGACATGTTCGCTAACCGCAACGCACACCTTCATCTTGGACTGATCGAAGCTTTTTTGACGCGGCAAACATGAACAACCGCGGCCACCACTGCTGGACTGCCACAATGGACATGAACATGCTTTTGCACTGCTTCCCGCTCCGCGGTTGTAGCTGCAACAACGTCTCAAGTATCGCAGTCCATGCGTGGCAATGTGCTGTCCTACCAGAGCTTGCCCTCCCGAAGATTTCGCCTTGAACTGCTCATCATTGTAATTGCGGGTTGCCGCGATCACATTGGCGATGAAATCGCAGTCCTTGGGCATCTGAATCGTGAGCACTGTGGCCGCCTGCAATTCTCTGACGCCCATTGCATTCTTTGGACAGAGCTTGGTCAACAGCTGCATGCCTTTCATGGGGAACTTGTCACTACTGGTAGCCACTTTTTTGCTCACACCACCTTCCGAGCTTGGAGGATTCCCAGTTTGCACCCATGGGGTCCAAGCCGATGTCATTTCACCCGCACTGACAGTATCACGGCTACTCGGCTCGCTATGGGGCCCGATGCTGCTGCATGTAGCTCATCTTTCGGCTAAGGCCATAAAGAATACGACGTCGAAGTTAAGATGAGCGTACACTCCCAATGACATATCTTCTGGATAAGGGCACACACTTCAGGAAATAATTAAAGGGACAAAAATGCAAGGTAAAACGGTAAAACCAGTTGAAGTGTGGACTCTCCCCCGTTCATTACAAGCTGCTTTTCATTTTAGAGGTCGAGTATCAGAAAGCTGGACAGGCGTCCTGTCGGGGGGGACTCAGAACCCCACTTCGACAATTTCTCGAAATGTGGTTGTGATTAATCCTTGCTTTCTAGAAACAAAGGATAAAGACCTGTTCACATACATGCCATGTAGTTATTGGATCGCTGGGAGTAGCAAGGATAACTGAAAAAGCAAACCAAGATTGATTGTGAACAGGCTAAGTGTAATTATGCCCGACTCTTTCCCTGTCTATTTCGCTTCTTTTTCTTCTACGCCGCACTGCGCGCACACACTGGTCCTTGTCTCTGTAGTCAATTGAAGAAATAATGAGGCCGTCGGCACAGAACTGTAAAACCCCCATTCTACCTTGAACACCTAGTTGGACCGTCGGCCTCATCATTTCGCTCTGGCTCTCTCACTCTCGGCTGGCACGCGAGGCCAGGTTTGAGAGAGTGGGGACAATTCTAGATTTCGACTTCTGGCGAAACCAGGCAACGTTGAGTTGAGTGCTGTTTTGCTGGGATGTTTGCAAGCTTGGAAAGACACGCTCTTGCAGGCTTTCGAGGGGCAGCAGCAGCCTCAACCTCAGCGGGACGCGACCGGACCCGCATGTGCGGTGTGCAAGCTGCAGGGTGTGTTGCCTTGGGTGGAGGCCGGCGCTGGAGCGTCTCCACGGCTATTCAATAGACGGTGGCATTATGATGCTGAAAGAAGACGCGGGAGGCAACAAAGGCGTGCTGCTGTAATGCATCAAGTTTCCCCGATTCTTCGTGGGATGGTCTCGCCAGTTTCACAAGTTTAGCCCGATTCGGTGGCCGGAAAGCCGACGGCTCAAAAACCACCCTGGCTGATGCAGGAGACCGATTGTGGACACTATTCGCGAAATTGAATCACCAGAAGACCCATTTTCGCACTCAGATCCCGGTGCGGACACACATGGACAAAGCTGCTTCACTAGGCTTCACTGGACGACAGGTTCACGCACGGAAGCTGTAGGTTCGTGCACTGGACATTCGCGCGCCCAGTATTCTTGCATGTACGAGCCGGTGTGTGCGCCGGAAAGTTCGCGCACTGGATGAAACCTGAAACCTGTGCAAGGCATCCTAAACAAAAACTAAGCTCAAAGCAAATCATTTTGGCCATCCCGAAAACCCAGACCCCAGACAGTTTAAACCAGAACAAGCCTGAACCCCAAAGACCCTAAACCTTCAACTTCCAAGCCCTACAACAAAGACACAAAGCACGAAGTAATCGGTAACAACTCGAACCACACCAACAAGTTCAACCCCGACCCCGCAGAGTGCTGTAGAGCTACCCTTTCCAGGCTTCGCTCACATCCTTTGACCCCCGTGCCTTCTCCACCTCATCCCGCGTTATGTTGCTGTAGCCTGCTGGGATGCAAGATGGGAGCAAAAACAAAGCGAATTCTTCCAGCGGCTCCGGCCTGCCACATCCCACTGCCGCTTGGCGGCCGTCCGTAAAATCTGCTCGGAGCTCCCGCGCCTCCCGTCATACCAGATTGCCTCTCTAGTGAAGGAGGAGGAAGAGGAGGAGGAGGCGGAGGAGGAGGAGAACAATGATGATGATGAGGGTGGTGATGATGGTGGTGGTGGTAGTGACGATGATGATGACGATGATGAGGATGATGATGATGATGACGGTGAAGGTCACGAGGGTCATGACGACGATGGTCGTCGTCGTCATCATCTCGTCGTCATGTCGTTGTCGTCGTCCCCGCAGTACAAGTACTATGGCAAGTTGCTGCTGCTGCTGCTGCTGCTGCTACTACTACTACTACTACTACTACTACTAGTAGCAGTAGCAGTAGCAGTAGCAGCAGCAGCAGCAGCAGCAGCAGCAGCAGCAGTATTAGTACTAGTAGTAGTAGCAGTAGTAGCAGTAGTAGCAGTAGTAGTAGTAGTAGTAGTAGTAGTAGTAG